AAAAGCCATAAAACATATTATTAGGTATCTTCGTGGTACTTCTCAATATGGGCTTTGGTATTCTATGGGAAGCGAGTGCACCTTGGTTGGATACATCGACTCCGATTTTGCCATTTGCAAATCAGATATGAAAAGCACTAGTGAAACTTGCCACATGTTTTCAAATGCTTTAGTAAGTTGACATAGCAAGAAATAAGTCTTTGTTGCTTTGCCAATCGCTGAAGTGGAATATGTTGCGGCCGATAGTTGTTGTTCCCAAATCTTGGGGCTTAAGCCACAATTACTTGATTTTGAAATAAACTTGCAACGTATTCCTATTATGTGCGATAATAATAGAGCTATCAATCTAATCAACAATTCGGTACCGCATTCTCGCACTAAGCATATTAAAATACGTCACCATTTCCTACGTGACCATGTTGAAAAAGGCGATATCGTATTTGAGCACGTTGATAGCAAACATCAACTTGCCAGTATTTTTACAAAACCACTTGCGACCAAACCATATTCCAACATACGAAGGGAATTGAGGATACTCGATATCTCTAATCTTGTGTAGCATATGATACACTGCATGCACTTTGTATATTTTTGCTCTAACTTTCATTAGAAGTTTCATCATATGAGAGTGCATTGTCCATCAATCTACATGAAAGGTAATATTGTTTCTTTTCTTCTCCTTTACCTTGTTTAGTAAATCTCTTAATTTTCCTTGTTGCTAGTGTACCATAATGACTAATATTTTTGATGTATCAAATAGTCCATCAATATTCACTTCCAAAAATTTCTTTTTATTTTTATTAATTATATGTTTATAGTGATATTGTGTTATTCCTTCTATATACTTGAAATACACTCTTAGTGCCTGTGGCTTGCTATGTATTCGTTCATGAACATTGGTTGAACATGTTATGATGTTGAATAAATTCTCGTTGTGTGTCATTGTTATGATAACATCTCTATTTTTGGTTTAAGTGGCGATAACTTTGTGTATTGTTGTGCTAGAGCACATGCGTGTGCAGCACTTCGAGAGCACCAAAAACATATGTCACATAATCGTATCACTTTTGTAGCAACTCAAGAATTTGTGATTTTATTGTATCATTCATTGTTCATGTTCTTATTATTTTATTTGGCATTATGTGTAGCAATTGTGTTTTATTGTTACTTCACATGCTTGTATTTATGTTTAGGCATTCTTAGTCAATGTGTATATCATTATATGTGAGTGCTATCATGTTGATAGTATTCTCTTTGCAAATTGCCTCTGTGTAGTATTTTTATTTGTACGTGGTTAATGATACTTCTCATAGTTTGCTTGTTCTCTTTTTGATATTGTCAAAGGGGGAGAAGTGTACACAAGTTAAAGAAGTTGGATGCACATATTCAAGGGGAGTTTCTTCAAGACAACAACGTTGTGAAACACGTCATCTCATATTTTGACATCATCAAAAAGAGGGAGTATGTGAGTGCTTTTGGATTTTGAGTGATGTCAAAACTAGGATAGTGTAGTGTTATGTATATTGGACGGTATCATCCCATTCCAGATGTGCATCATAGTGTTAGGAATCATTCAAGTAAGTTGAAAAAGAAGCTTGCATCAAAATTGCATTGAAAAACTTGTTTTTGGGTGGTCAAACCTCTTTAGGATGACACATGCATGAACATGCCAACCTATACGACTCTTTGGTCTAGTATAGGTCAGGCTATAACAATTTCAGGTTGGCTCCCATGGAGCAGTATTGAAGCTTGTAGCTTCTGTTCACAGGTCGCCTCACATAGCCGACCTGTACGCTACACAAAACATCTATAGACCAACCTGATTGCATTGATATGGTGACCTATTTCTTTGACAGGCCGACCTATATGATTTCTCAACTTTAAAAATTTTCTTTCTTACTCCAACTTATTGCATTTCTTTTGTTCATTTTTCAACACACACCTATATAGACTCACATGCACCTTCGTCTAACAAGGTACTAGTGGATTACCTATACGAAACCAAATTACAAAACATTCTCATCATCTTCAACCTTTCTTCTATGCATACATGAAATTGAACTACACATAATCATTTTTCGATTGAGTGACCATCTAGATTATGCTAGATAACGTATAATTAGGTTTGGTGTAACTGAGAATATTTGTTTGAGATCTTTGTGTGTTTCAAATAAGAAAACTAAGGTGTGGTTTTCCTTCAAGATTGGTGTGATTTGAAGGTTTTGGACAATATCATGTCAACACGGATTCGACTGAGTGAAGGCTTTGGACAAGGTGGTTTCCTTGCAAGGGAGTAGCGCGAGACGGTGAATCGTGTTCGGGAATTTTGGGTTCAATAAGTGCGTGCTCGGGATAATTAGAGAGATATAGCCACATTGTTGGTGACTTGATCAAGCTTTTATCAAGGGTTCGGAGGTGGTTGAATCAACATCAAACAGTAGGATTTGTGGGGTTAGAATTCATCACCTCTTGTATAAACATTTTTGCAAAGATAAGTTTAATTGCAAGTATCCCAATTCGATTTTAGATTGAGGGCAGATGTACCCATAGAAAAGCCGACTAGGGAACTGCCTAAAGAAATCTTTGTGGCTCTTTATCGCTTTGATTTTCTTTAATTATTGTTCTTGAAAATTATCAATTTTGTAGTTGTTTCGATTAATTCAATTGAAAATTGTTTTCAACTTTCTTTTAAATTGTTGTTGTTGATATGATCGCAATCAATTTGATTGTGATTGGATTTTTACATCAACAAATTAAATTGAATTTCCAAATATGATCAATTGCACACAAAGTGTTCGATAAATTGTCTGAGTATTTTTATTGCTTTGTGTTCATTGAAAATAAGCATTACGAATAACTTTGCATTTGATTTATTCGTGAGTTAATTGTTGATTGAACAATTTGTGTTCATTATCATTCCATCGATTTCATTACGCATATCTGAGATTTTCGATAGTAGGTTCAGTTAGATGAATCGATTTGGGTTATTTCCGTTGTGCCATACTTTTTGAAAACAAATTTTTGCCAAGAGTTTTTGGTTTTAAATTTGTGATCTATTCACCCCCTCTAGATCGAAGCATATCGTCTAACAGTTATATATGGGGTCAACTCTTGAGAGTTGTATTAGGTCAAAAATACCTAAATCTTTCTAGAAATGCTTCTTTTTTTCTTGAACCCTATTCAACCACTAGATGTAAGAGTCATCCTCAGTCGGAGGAGATGAACATAATACCCTATTTTTAAAGAAACTAAAATTAAATGGTTCATCCACAAATACCAAGGGCTCAAAAGATGGGTAGTTGGGGAAGAAATCTCTCAACACATGGGGTTTCTTAACATGTCTAGGAAGGAGACCCATGAAAGTGAAAAATGGTACCTGAAATAGAGTAGGGAATTAATGCATCAACATATATCATACATTTCTTCTCCCATATTTCATGGGAGATTTAGGGACGTAAGCCCGATCATTAATGAATAAAGGTTCTTCAATGGTAGTGGCTAAGGGAGCATGTGGAGTAGGTTTAAATTTGGGAGCCATTGTTGATTCTCAAGTTTTTGGAAAGAAATGTGATGGAGAAGATTGCAGAAATCGCAGAAAACACTCTAGGGTTTTTCGTTTCTTTTTTTAGAGAATGAAATGGTAAAAGAGAAAAAAGTTGAGGAAGAAAGGTTTTAAATAGCTAAATGGAACCAATAATTTTGGACACATGACACATGCAGGTCGACAATTGGCACCAAGAGGCTTCGGAAAATGATGAAAATAAAGAAATAAAATGATTTTCTTTTTCTCATTTAAATTAATGGTGTGTCAATCTCCTAGGAAATAAGGGATGATGGTGATGAGTCGCACACACGTCTGTGACGTGAGGTTTGATAGAAAAATGGTAATGATGACCCATGAATAAAAATAAATAATGATAAAACGTTTAGTCGATGTGACATGTACATGCTAGTTAAACTATGTCGAGGGTTTATAAAAAACGCCTCCTTTCTTCCATCCGACACATGATTGAAAGTGACATTTTGGGGGGGCATCTATTAGTCTAGAATTTCAAGTTGGAGAAAAATTCACAAAGAATTATGCGTGGAGAGAACGTTAAGTGTTATCATTTATTGACCAGCTTCGACAGGTCAAATACGTCGACTGGAGCGCCTCGACTAGCATGCTGAATATGGTTTGAAGAGTCTTAGAAACAAATCTTGAAAATGGATTGGAATAATCTCAAGAGCAAATCTAACTAATCACTCGACACCATGTCAAAGTCGAAGTTTTTGATTGACGTCAAAAAAAAAAGACTTTGGAGTCTTGAAAGGTTATCATAACATTAGTTTTTCATAAAACTATCTTCGACAAGCAGTAGTTATATGCTTGGAGCAGTTACGAACGTGAGATAATGGTTTTTCAACGGTTTGTAAGTTCTGACAACATGATAGTGCTTCAGAAGACTAAGTTGTATGTTCTTAGTACATGTCTATTTTCTACAAGTAAACTGTCGGAGACAATTATCTTTAGTTTAATATAAATAACAGACTCATACATTATAATCAAGGTCACAAAATTCATATACTTCTCTATAGAATTATAGTACCCGAATGAAAGAGCAAAAAGTTTATGAGTAACGTGCATAAGTCTACGTCCCTTTCTTTCCTTAATTGAAACAATTTTTTTATTCTTTGTCATTTACTATACATGTTTAATGCTATTTATTATAATTTTCATTTACTTTAATTCAAACTTTTTCATTATCAAAATTTATTTTCTACCGATTTTTTCCAAAAAATTTCAAATTAATCTTACAAACTAAAACAACTACTAACCATCCCAAAATACATAGGTGCGTTAGAATCCAAAAAAGAACTATAAGAAACGGGCCCGGAATGACCGGGCTGACCCATGAGCTTGAGCATTGGCTTTGGCAGTCACAGTCAAAGAGAGAAATTTTGGTGATTCAATCATTCAATTCATCTTCTTCTTCTTCACAATTCGCCGGAAAAATTCGATGAAGCTGAAAGAGTTAGAAGGTCACCTAGGTTCTCTTGATCAATTTCCTAACCCTAAGGTTTCTCTTTTACTACTTTTTTAACTTTCAATTTCTTTCTTCTTTCTATAAAATTAAACTAATAATCAATGATTGTGACGAATCACGCACTGAATCACTCATTCACTTCATTGTTTATTGCAGATTGAGCTTGAGCAATACCCAACAGGACCACACATCGCTTCTCGTATGCTTTTTCTTGTAAATTTCTTAAACCCCATTTTTCATTTTTTTTCTTTGTTTATCTCCCTTTATGCTCCCTTTGAGATTTACTCTTCAAATATGCTAAAGTTTGATTCTTTTGCCTTATCACATCTTCAATGTGTAGTGTTTGTTAATGGGTATTTTTGTAATTTATAATGTATATTTGTTTGTGGAAATTTACTATCCTAGTGTGTGCAAAGTACTTTTCTGATAGAAGGTGTACCTTGATTGGCAAGAACAAGAATAGTTCCTCCAATTTGCCTAGGCAATTGACAATGGTTTCTTTCCTCGTCATCATTCTTAACCTCAGTCAAATATTATCATATATGTAGCGGTATCATTATCCTATGCTTTTTACATTGTTGTGTGTGTCTGTGTTCGTGTCAAGTGTTCGTGTTTCATAGCTTTCTAGTAAATGACCTTGATCTCTTCTAAATTGGATGCTGGCATTAGTTCCCACATTTATGCATTGGTTAGTAAGAAGACTATATCCCGTGTTAATATTTTACATGACATTTGGAGTATTAGCTTGGTGTTCTTTGTATTTTGATAATCATATGGAAAATTTTCATCATAGTGGTTGAAACTAGGGATAGATGAGGAGGAGAGAGTATTGTAGCAAAACAAAAATAATATGGATGAGTGTCGTTTTCTTAATAGAATATATATTATAATTACACATTGTGAAAATCATCTTTCTATTGTGATTCATGGAATCAGGCAGAGAATTCTTATGATGATGTGAGCAACAAAGTAGTAGCTGACTTTGGATGTGGTTGTGGTACTTTAGGCATTGCAGCTGCCCTTTTGAGCGCGGAGTAAGTTGCAGCTACATTTCGGGATATTTCATCAGTTTGTCTTATTTTTTCAAAGTCTTCTATTTTATGGGAGATTATTATAGTGACGTTGATTATTGGTATGCTAAAATTTTGAACCACTATTTTATACAAATTGCAGAAGCTATCTTGAATGAATTTCATTATTGAAGGATGAAAATTAAAATTGATGTTTATTAAATTTGTTCTTCAAATACTGTTTCTTCCCATTTCAATTAAAAAATATTTTAATAATATTTTTTTGATTTGTGTTAGCATTGATCAGACATGTTCTCAGCATTGACATAGATCCAGAATCTCTTGAAATAGCATCTCTTAATGCTGAGGAACTTGAGGTATTGTTCTTTTGTTGACTATATTGGCGAATGAATGCTTCGGTTTCATAATAACCAGGTCTCTTATTAGAAAATGAATAATAAGGCTCAATACTTTTTCATTGTTGTACATATTTGAATGTTAAAGATTTAGGTCAATGTTTTGATTTTATTGGAACAATAGGCGATGAAATATGGTCATTAAATAAGTGCATTATATTTATATATTTTATCCAAGCGATTATTATGTTAAAGTTGGCCTCCACTAACGGATACTGATACACACTATTGCTTTGTTATTCAACTAAAACTGCAGCTGGACATGGATTTTATTCAATCTAATATCATGGACTTGAGATGGAGAGGTATTTTCAACATCATTTTTGTCCTTCAATAGGATAATACCATCATATTGTATACGTTTTTTTTTTTTAATCTTGAAGCATAATTATATATAAGCTATTTCTATAACGAGAGATAAAATAAAGTGAAGCTGTCCTCGTATGAACTATAAGTTGTTTTCTTAATCTATCTTGGAGAGCTTATAGATATGTCATAAGCCATTTGCATAAGTTCTAAATATTTTCACTAGTTCTTATGCCAGAAGGTAAGCTCTCCCAATAGTCTCGCAAGTGCTTATGCGAGTAGATAAGCTCAAATAAGTCAACCCAAACAGGCGCTAGGTGTATGTTATTTCCTGATATTCAATGCGATAGTGACTTGTTCTAGTAGCTGTCAAACAATATAATCTTGTGATAATCGTCGATTAAGAAAGCGATAGTAATATTGGTGCTCCTGCCAGGTCCAATTGTCGATACAGTTATAATGAATCCTCCATTTGGAACTCGGAAAAAGGGTGCAGATTTAGAGTTTCTTTCTGCTGCTATGAAGGTAAAGCAATATCATGGATGCTGGTTATAAATATTAACATATGACTAATGTAAAATCTAATAATATACTTTTGTTCCATATTTTGTTCATTAGGTTGCTTCTCAAGCTGTTTATTCTTTGCATAAAACTTCAACAAGAGATGTAAGTCAGTTGCAACTTAAATTTTTAGTTTTTCAATTGAGCAATTTAATTCTGCAAACTTTATAATATTGCAATCGTGTTGGGGGCTGAAATCACTTGATGTCAGAACTGACCATCAAACTGGATTAGTCGGTCCAGTGGACAGGATACTACTGGCGGTGAAAACTCAACAAAAAAAAATCTATAATCTATAACAAATAGACCCTAAATCTATATACCTTGTCAACATAATGAATGAATATCCCCTCATGTGTTAACTTTATATGATTGCAGCATGTGAAACGTGCAGCTTTAAGGGATTTCAATGCTAGAAGTGCTGAAGTTCTCTGTGAGGTGTGTGCAGTTAAAGTATTGTGGACAGATTAATTTTCTTATTCTAGTTATTTGTGGAGTGTAACCATGGTGCAATTCTGGACCGTTCTCATATTGTTGAAATTTTGTTGTTTTGTATGATATGGCAGCTTCGGTATGATGTGCCGAAATTGTACAAATTTCATAAGAAGAAAGAGGTGGATATTGCTGTTGATCTATGGCGTTTTGAACCTGCAAGTCATCAGAGCTGAGGCATTTAGTGCAGACAGATTGCAATGGATGATAAAGTTGAAAATTAGAGATGAAATTTTGTTATGTACCTATATAAGATATTGTGTTTTTTTCATCTCTCTATTACAAGCTCTTGATAGACTTGGGTGATTCCTCTTCAGTAACTTGTTAGTATGTTACGATAGTAATCCGAGTTTGAACTTTGGACTTCCTTTTCAAATTTATTCTATAGGGATTCAGATTAATCATTAGAGCTACATATTGGCTATGAAACACATGCACACTAACACTTAAATATCGGTAATAATTTAAAAACTAAAATAAATTAAACATATATGTGTTCGTGTCTGACATGTTTTTGACACTAATAATGTCAAATGTTTTTAACGGTAATAATTTGAAAGAAAAAAAATAATAAAACAAACATAATTATATGTTTTGATGTTGGCTTCAAACACTGTCATATGTCATGCCGAATATTGCTTTAATCAAAGGGGTCGGTGCTATAAAGTATTCTAGCAACTTGAACATACATTGAAGTTGGGTCGAATATGTTTTTATTCGAAGGTGTCTATGAAGTGTTCTAGCAACTTGAACATACACTGAAGTTGGTCTCAACTCAAGGATGTTTTTGTAATTTAACTCAAGAAGCATTCAATCTAAAGTGTTCTTACAACTTGAACATGCACTGAAGTTGGTCTCAACTCAAGGATGTTTTTGTAGTTTAACTCAAGAAGCATTCAAGTTTTGCTACACTATTTCTTCTCTCATATCTCTATTTTTTATTTATGGATGATGATATTATTTACCGATGAAAATATGGTATGAAATAATTAGGGTTCAAAAAATTATGACCTGAACCGAACCTTCGAATTGAGCTGAAGTTTAAATAATCAAAGTGTATTATTCCTTCTCTCATCTTTATGGATATGGTATGAGATAATTAGGTTTCAAAAAACTATGAACTCAATCTGAGCTGAAGTTAAAATAATCAAATCGATGTTTCATTAGTAAACCAAATCATATTATACAAATAGTTCTAAAATTGAATCGAACCAAAACTGACACCGAACCAAATTGAAAATGAAAAAAAATACTAAGAACAAATTTTAATTTTTTGTTTTAAATTTTAAAATAGCTTAACGAATCCTTTCTTTAATAAATGATTCGGATTGAGAAAAATTAACTTCTAACAATTTAGAATTTCAAAACGGTATACCGAGCCAATAGTTTTGATTTAATTCAGTTATGAATAAATTGAAACGAATCAATTCAATATGGTTTGGTTCTTCAGTTTGGTTTTCAGAGAAAAACAACCCTAGAGAAAATCCATTGTCAACTTATAATATGCCTAAATTAGACATATTATATCTTTCACAATCTTCAACCATTCTACTATAAGCAAAGACTTGTTATCCTTGAAACAAATCTCAAACAGATCAATGATTATTACAATTTACATGAAACATAACAAGTGTCAAGAATTAATGAAACTAGAAATTCAAGCCCTAATGAAATTTTGTAATTTAAAAATGCATCAACTAATAATTTCAACACAAACCACAGAATTACACAAAACTCAGTCCTCATGTATCCTCAAATACAGATACAGATCAGTAAAATGTGTCCGCGCCTAATGAACATTCGGTTATTATGAAGAATCAGATTTCTGTTTACAAAATTGATCTCTTAAGTTATGCTGCAACTGTTGTTTCTTTTTCAACTGTCTCTCCGAGAGTGAACCGAGCAAAACGCCGCACTTTAATGTTCTCTCCAATGGCAGCTATACTTTGCTTCACCAAATCTTTCACCAACACACTGTCATCCTTAATGAAAGGCTGCTCTAGAAGAGCAAGCTCTCCTAACCTCTTTGAGATTCTTCCCTCAACAATTCTCTCTCTTATGTTCTCGGGTTTTGAAGCAAGGTCTTCCCGTTGCATCTCGAGTTCTTTTTCCTTCTTCACAATGGCTTCTGGAATATCTTCAATCGATACAAACTGAACCTGTGGACAAGCCACAACTTGCATTGCAAGATCATCGACCAGTTCCTTAAATTTCTCACTTCTGCCAACAAAGTCGGTTTCACAGTTGACTTCGATTAGAACTCCTATGCGTGAATCGTGAATGTATGTACCAATTCTTCCTTCAGCTGCAAGTCTTCCGGATTTCTTGTCAGCGGACGAGAGACCCTTTTTCCTGAGGTATGCTTGCGCCTTTTCAAGATCACCTTCGGTTTCAGCAAGAGCTTTCTTACAGTCCATCATCCCCGCACCGGTTTCTTCCCTTAACTGTTTAACCAATGAGGCCGAGATCGATACTGCTGGTTTCCTGCAGTTCAACATTGAACAATTTTAGACTTGCAGCAAACACACCTTCGATTAAATTTTGTTCATACCAAGAATAATTCATAGATAGTATGTAAAATATAAAAATAGCAACTAGAGTGCCTGGGAATTTGAACAAATCGCTATTGTTCCACAATTTAGTAACAGAATTTGAACAAATCGTTATTTTTCACGATCTGCATTTGACAACACTTATTAATAACTCATTAACAAATAAAAACTCATAGATCTGCTTACTTTTGTTCAGTTTCCTTGACTTCGGCAGCAGCAGGCTCCTCTTTCACCGGTGTAGTCACTGGTTTTGCTGCAGTTTGTGCAGCTACTTCAGCAGCAAAATCCTGGCTTTTCTTTTCCAAACCTTCGCCGAGGTTGAACCGCACAAACCTCGTAACTTTAATATTTTCTCCAATAGTTGCAATTGTCTGCTTGACCCAATCCTTTATGGGAACTTTGTCATTCTTGATGTAGGGCTGCTCAAGCAAAGCCAATTCCTCGAGTCTTTTCCTTATCCGTCCTTCAACAATCCTCGATCTGATTTGCTCCGGTTTCGAAGCAAGATCTTCTTTCTGCATTTCTATCTCTTTTTCTTTGTTCACGAATTCCTCAGGAACATCTTCAGTAGCAATATACTCTACTTGAGGACACGCAGCCACTTGCATGGCTATATCCTCAACAACCTCTTTAAAAATTTCACCTCGGGAGACAAAATCGGTCTCGCAGTTTACTTCTACCAAAACACCGATCCTGCTGTCGTGGATGTAAGAACCTATCCTTCCTTCAGCAGTTGCTCTGGCTGCTTTCTTGTCTGCGCTTGCTATGCCTTTTTTCCTAAGGAGCTCTTGTGCTTTAATAATATCGCCTTCACTCTCTGATAGAGCATTTTTGCAGTCCATCATTCCAGCTCCGGTTTCATCCCGAAGTTGCTTCACAAGTGTTGGTGATATGGTTGCTGCAATCCAAAGGGGGGCGGAACAGACATTTAACAATTAAAAATCCTATTTAAAAATCGAAATAATTTTTGAACAATCAAATTTAGATATTTACTTCAGTTTGATGCAGAAAAGTGAGAATTGAAACGTGAAGCAAATAAATGAAATTGAAACCTTTACTCGAGCCTTCATCTGATGCAGTAATTTCGGTTTGTTCATTAGAACTAGATAAGGTGCTGTTTGTCTCGGATGCAATTGCAACCTCTTCAACTTCTGCTGCCACAGGTGTTTGTTTTTCTTGCACTTCTTCAGTGGGAGGACTTTCTGGAGAGGGAATTTGATTGTTTTCCTCTTCAACTTCTGCTGCCACAGGTGTTTGTTCTTCTTGCACTTCTTCAGTGGGAGGACTTTCAGGAGAGGGAATTTGATTGTTTTCTTCGGTTCCATCTGTTGGCAAAAGAAAAAAAAAATCCTACATTTATGAGCTAACTATAACGATATCAAATTGCTTCGATTGCCTAAACCTAAAACTTCCAAACAATTTCCATTCATTAACCAAAATACAATCCAGTGTTGTTAATTAGCAGCGCTATAGTGCTTTAGCGTAGCGTAGCGGAATTTGAACAAACCATTATTTTTTGCGATACACGATTCACGACACTGATTCAATCAGGCAAGTAGAATTTGAAAATGAATCAAGCATAACCTTTGTTCAAGCTTCCCTCGGGAGACAAATCACTCTCATTGTTCTCTGGAACAGCTTCAACATTGTCATTGTTCTCTGGAACAGCTTCAACATTGTCCTTGTTCTCTGATTTTAGTTGTAATTTGGGAAAAAGACATTAAATCAGTATTTCAATACGTAAAAAGAAATGAGATAAATGAGTTGTTTATAAATAAGCAGAAACAACGTGACATCGTAAACAAGAACCTGCTGTTTCTTGAAGAGCTGGTGCACTTGATGTTATGTCTGATTCTGTAACAACAGGGACGGGCTCAACTGCTTCATTATCTGTCTGCGTTTCAGCTACAAGTTCTTCTTTTTCATTATCAGCTTCTGATTGTTTTTCATCTTCCGCAACAATTTGATCAACTCCACTTTCTATTACATTCTCATCAGTCGCTTCAACTGGTGACTCGGTTTCTACATCACTTGTGATATCTGTCTGAATAGCTTCCTCGACTATTGGATTGACAGCAGATATATCCCCTTCAGAAGCTTCCTCCGTTTCCTTCTCGGCGTCACCATTTATAATACTTCCTTGACTGCTTTCATCATCTGCAACAGTTGTTGAGGAACCGACCGATGAACTAGTTCCAACATCTTCCTCAGTTTTTGTTGCTGATGATTTCCCTTCGCTTTGAACTTTCTCCCTCTCATCCAGAAATTTAGCAATATCCTTATTTTTACGAAAAGCCATTGTAAAAGGGTTTGTTCCAACACCCATACTCTTTTGTAGTTCATATGGACTGCCTGATTCCGGAACAGCTCCTTCCTTCTTCATAGTCAACGTCGCTTGTCCTCTTGTGATACGCAAAACCCGTACGCTAACTTCTTGACCATCCTTCAACGAAGATTTTCCCATTACTTTCGTAACTGGATTGTCACTCTCCTCATTTATCGGTAGAAATCCCTCCTCACCTTCCGGAAGAGATATAAAAGTACCACTCCTTATTGCATTCTTCACCGTACCGTTCAACTCCTGACCTACGGATAATTTCGTTTGTTTCTTCGTACCAGATTTTGAAGGGTCCCTCCTATCAGGGTTGTATCTTTCTGTAGTGTTCGGTGCATCATTACGTTTGCCAGTACCAGATTTTGAAGGATCCCTCCTATCAGGGTTGTATCTCCCCGTAGTGTTCGGTGCATCGTTACGTTTGCCAGTGTCAGCATTCTCACGCATAGAGAGAGATATACGCTTAGTTTCATCGTTCACTTCAATCAGCTTCACCTTCACTTCTTGTCCAACAGAAAGAACACTCGCAACATCCTTTACATAACTATCACTCAACATAGAAATATGAACAAGTCCGTCTGAGAAAGCTCCGATATCAACAAATGCACCGAACGTCCGGATAGATACTACTTTCCCCGTAAATTCTGCACCTGGAATCAATTCCTCTTTCTTTACCGGAGGCATCTCGCTTTTCCTCCTCGGTATTACACGTTTTGCTTTTACAGAACTAGTGTTCTCATCGGACTTAGGAGATGAATCTACGCTTTTTACAACTTCAACTGAAGGAGATTCACTAGAAACTTCATCTGCAATAGGTAAACCTGTTACCTCCACGGGTGCTTCTGTTTCTGTGGCTGATATGGAGGTTCTAGATTTCCTACGATAAGAGCATATCCGTTTGTTCTGCGGAAACACTCCATTGACGACAAATGAAGGAAAGAGAAATCTCCGAGTCGACGATCCTTGTTTTAAAGAACTCCTTGAAAAACTGAGTCTAGTTAAAGTGTTATTCTTCCTTGTCGAATACGCAACTCCAGGAATAATTGAAGCATTGCCAATGGAGCATGATATTATGGGATTCATGTTGAATTAAATTATAAAACTTATTTAGTTTTTTCAGAATCAGTTCATCTCGTGTCACCTTCAAAAACAAATGAAGAATATCAAAAGGTGCAAACTCGGTGATAAATTAAATACATCAAAATTCTATAAATACACGAATCACATTGCATAATCAACTTACTCGCAACTACTTCAACCATATCCACATCGTTTACAAATTGAGTAAATACAAATACACCAACTACATTGCAAAGAAATATCTACATGAATTTCAATATCTGGATTTCGTAATCGAAAAACCTCAAGCTATTGAATATCAATATCTTGATTTCGTAATCGAACTCTTGAACAAGTTCAATTATCTCTTTTATGTCATCAATGTCATTTTCAAAATACTTTCAATTCAATCGTCACTATGAATATAACAGGATAACATATTAACATATCTCACAACAAAATGAAATTACAACAAAATTCAAACTCATTTCATGAAAATACCAAATTCATTTCATACAGATAAGTGGCTAAGCCATGAAACCCTAAAAGTACTTTTCTTTTACACAATAAACTTGGTGAACTAACTAACGATTGAGTAGTCCATTTCAATTTCAAGCAAAGTGTAGAACAAGAATACGCTAAAGAGACTAAAGTGACGTGAACACAATTAAATCTAAGAATTGCCACAGAGAAACTAAAAACACTTCATGGTTTAAGCATAGTATATACCTCTGGAAGCTTCAAAGGGGTATAAACAAAAAGGAAGAACAGTGAAGATGAAGTTTGGTGTTTGAAATTTTGAGTGTAAAAATGAAATCTTTTTGGTGAAAGTGGAAATGGGTAATGATGATAGAGAGGGAGGGAAATGAATGGAGAGGCTTTAAATCCTTATCTTCGTTATTCACAGCTGAGATGAGACAACGTTGTTTATCTTTGCTTATGTTTTTCTGATAAACCGAACCAAATGCCGAACCTAAGCTTCGGTTTAAGTATGCTAAAAGAGTCATTTTAGTTGGGCTTAAAGCCCAAATCATCAACCGTACATATTTTTGGGTTGTTATTTCCACCCAAAGAGGTGAAGAGCCACTTTATAAATTTCAAAATTGCCTTTTTAATATTTCAAAAATATATCTTCGGACGTATCTAGTGTACATCAAAACACGTTTTAAGTAAAACATTCTCGTTTAAAAAAAAAGTTAGTCTGAAAGTGTATCTTCAGACTAGTCCCTACATTGATTTTGTTTATTTCGCAACTCAGTGAATAATTTGAAAGTGCAATTTCGGATTCGTCAAGTGAGAAATTGAATAAAACACTACTTTGCATATATTTTACAACTTAGTGAATAATTCAAAAGTACAGTTCCGAATTTATCAAGCAGAAAATTGAATAAAACACCACCTTGCATGTATTATTCACTTATGATCATATTACCATTCTTCTTCAAATCCTACAAAAACCTCCTTTCATACTCAATCAACTCTTCTACTTCAAAACGTCATTCCTCTATTTTTTTCACATCAAAACGGAGCAAAAGAAGCTGAAACTTAATGTAGTATACATGTATTTCCTTCCACAATACTTGTTAGAATTTAGTTTTTGTGTTGAAAAAATGAATGTTGCGTCAGAAAGTGTATTTTCAAATTAATGTTCAATGTAATAAGAAGTGTATTTCTAAATTTTTGTAATGTTGAATTTGGTGAGTTTTTAATTTTTTACTGTTATGATTGCCCTTAGATATGATGCACCCTAATGCAGTCCCCAAATCCATTGTGTATATGGATGTTAAACTGATTAATGTTAAGGTAGATGTTGGTAAAAAATTTATAAGTAAATAGGAGTTGTTGTTCGTGAACATATGCTCGCATGGATCTGCGCATAGGCTACCAAATTAGGGTTCAATGTTGTAATCAGGAGGTAAGATAATAATTCTGATATAAGACAAACATCTGTGACAAAGAGACGCGAAAGAAGTGGTAAGTATATAAAACCTATCTGAAAGTTATAACTGGATGAAACTGCTTCGAGGAAATGTGAATTTCCTTTTAAGTTGTGCGAGAAACTTATGGATAATAATACATTGACATTTAATGAGGTTTTAGATATACATAATCATTACTTGTGTTACAAGTTAGTCAGTCATCTAATTGCATGTCGCCTTAATCATGAAGAGAAAGATCTTGTTTCTGACATGACATTGAACATGGTACAACTTAAAAATGTAACACCTGAGGCCGAAGAGAGCGGAGACTGGTTATAACACTCATGGTCGAAGAGGGCAGGGGGTGGTCGCCTAAATTCACATCGGAATGAGAGGATCCTGAGGCTCTAGAGGTATGAGACGACCTGGTTGAAGAAAGCATTATAAGGATTGATTGGTACTACCTATATCAACAAGATGCATATTCTTTTCGATAGCCTAACAAATAAGAACTCCTTAGTTAAGAATGCTTGACTTAGAGTAGTATATGGATATGTGACATTTTGGGAAGTTTCACGGAAAGCGCGTGAGTGAGGACAAAATATTTTGAAAAGACCCGTGTTGGTTTATGGGGTCATTCGGTAATCCTGAAAGAAGTCTAGGGTGTTATAAATGGTATCCGAGCAGATCTCTCCCAATACGACGTGATTCGGGATGAACCAAGCAGAAGCTAGTGGACATGTAACACCCGAGACCGAAGAGGGGCAGGGGTCATCACCTGAATTCACACCAAAATGAGAGGATCATGAGGCTCTGGAGGTATGGGACTGGATGGTTAAGGGAAGACTTATAAGGATTGATTGGTACTACCTATATCGATAAGATGCATTTCATTTTTGGTAGCCTAACAAATAAGAACTATATAGTTAAGAGTGGTTGACTTGGAGTAGTACTTGGATGGATGACCTTCTAGGAAGTTTCTTATAAAGCGTGTGAGTAAGGACAAAGCATGCTGAAAAGACTTGTGTTGGTTTGTGGAGACTGTCAGTAATCTTAAAGAAGTCTGGGGTGTTACATAAAACACACTTGAAAATTTGAAACGGAAAAGACCTTAAAATGTCTCAAATATCAAGAAAGTATACAATGTTCATGCCTGAAATAACAAGGCGATAAGATGGCCAAGAATTGAAATGCAATAACTGTTAAAGCTTTTAAATGATAATCATTATGTATCTAGGTAGCGAGTGTGCAAGAATGGAGAAATCGTTCGAGATATATTATGAAATCAGCCTGATCACATCAAGTTGTTCAACACATTTCTCAATGTCCTCATTATTTAGATGGTCACGCATGTTTTGATGCATTTTAGTTGTTATCTAACAATGTATTTAGGTGGTGACTCATTTTTTGTATTTAAGCACTGATTCGTCTTTTTTTTATGAATGTTGGATTGATATTATCAGGGATGTAAACTTGATATATGTTAATACATTTTATTTTATATTCAACATTAAATGTATAAATATTGGTCGTTCCGTTTTTCTAAATTTTTGCGTTTCAAATTGTTTTCATAACATGTTGTGTTATAACAGATTTTGCATGAATAATGAGAGGTTAATCTGGAACTGTACTTCTGGACTCACTCCATTTTATTGAAAAAAAATATTAACATGGGATACTTCAGAATTGTATTTTCGTAGACACCTTTTTATATATGATTTATTAAACTAAATAGGGTTAATTTGGAAGTACATCTATGGAATATCCTCTAAGATATTATTAGGTTTCTATAGTACATATTAATCTAAAACTTGTATAAACATGGGTTCCCCTCATGTTGTTATCAAAATCACATGTAAAATGTCTCAATATTTATATCTCGCTTTTATCTATTTCAACCGCGAAAGCCCCCTCTTGAATTTAGGTTTGTATAGATCACTCATCTCGTTGATCTGAAATCCACACTGGAGATTTTTTTTGCAATATCCAGACAATCGAAGAGTTATAAATCTCTTTTACCATTCACCCTCGATTGACAACGAATGAAAGATACAATTCAGGAAGTTTAAGCTGAAGACAGATGAAGACTTAACTGTTATGTGGAGTACATTTCACCATTACAAAAAAAAAGTTATGACCTAGGTAAATGTGAAGGTTGTAAGATCGACCATTAATGATTGATGATGAAATATAATGTTAGATTTATGTTAATAATTATCTATGTAATGTTACACATGTTACGTATGTCACAATAATGATTGATGTTAATTTATGTTGTTCTTCCCATTCTGCATCTGTTCCTAATTTGAGAAATTTTAGTTAATTAAAAATAATAAAAATAATGAGATATTTGGTTTTGGAAGGAAAATAGAATTGTAATATAATTAGTGTGATGAGGAGAGAAATACCAAGAGTTGAGGGGATGCAGTTACAATGATAAAATAAAATATAATTATGTTTTATTTGTTTTAAATAGAAAAAGTTGGGAGAGAAAGTGTCAGTACATGAAAATTGGAGAAAAGGGAGACATTTAGTAGAAATGGCAAACCTAGCAAGAAGAAGAACTCCATAGACAAGTTCAAACATTTTTTTCTGCAAATTTAAGGTAGGAGAAATTATTCATCTATGGTGTATTTTTCATGAAGGATAGAGAGAGATTCTAACCCTCTTCCTAGTTTCTTTTTTCTTCCTTCATTGATGAGATTTTGGACCTTTAGGTGGTTGTGCAAACCTCTCTAGATCATCGTGTTATGGTACTAGTTTTGTATTATGTTAATTACTTAATTTCTTATGAATTGATGTGTGGAATTTTGAGTTTTGATGTTCATAAACATGTATGATGTTTTTGATAAATTGTGATTATGGTTCATGACAAATAGATGATACTAATGATGATTCTATTTGGAATTTATATGTTTATTACTGCATAAATATTGTAAGATGAATTATTGTGAACTATGGGTTTCTTGGTATCGAAATTGGAGCTTTGAAAGTGTTCCAATGGTGAAAAGGCAGAATTGTGCATTATGCACATCGATGATAGGCGTCACCCTGGGTGAAGATCTGGCCGTCATCGCGTTGGGGAAACAGGTCAGCTCGACCAAG